CTGAGGCAGCCTTTCCTGTGGTCAGAAGTGGTCCAGAGCTTAGACTCACTCTGTTCTAAATGTCTCCATCTAGCTTCAGGCATGAAGCTGGCATGGGCTGGCCATGCTGGATTTAGACTGTGCTCTGCTCAGCCTGCTTAGATCTGCTTCTTCTGGATCCCATTAGGAGGTGCTTAACTTCCCATGAGGCCTAACACGGGTTCTGGATTCCTGTCTCATTCGTAATATATGACACATAATCAGAAACAGATCCTGGCCCAAAACTCTAGCCAGCCAAAAATGGAGAAAAACAGACTGGCTGACATTCTGCCAGGGCTACCCTCCTACAGGAATACTGATGCCCATGGGATGACATAGATGTAAATCAATTTGTTCCCAGTACTATCTCTTGTAGCTGAAACATTATAAAGTTGTAGTGGATACCATGAAAAATAACGACTTTTCAGATACTTCGCATTGCAACAGCAATTAATGTTTCTGCTTAGATGTTTGGATGAAGCTGGAATTACAGTGCCACAACACCAGCTGTAAGACTAACATTTCCCAAAAAAATTAACTTCTTGAAATGGCTGAAGCACTACATTCATATACACAGAAAAAAAAAAAAACAAAACACCCCACAACTTCAAATAAATACTCTTCTAAGTACCAGATCCTCAGTTAATATAAACACTTTAAATAGAATGGATTTAAACAATTTACAGATACTGAGCACCTTTGCTTCAGAATAAATAGAAATGAAAGTAACAGGTTTTTTCTACTCTCTCCTTTTCACAATTAATTTTGTTTGGATCTTTGCTATGGACTGATATGAATGCAATCACCTTCTTGAGTAAGTGTGCAACACAGGAATCCAGGGTTTCTTCTCAGCAAAGGAGGAAAAAAAATAGAAACTTTGGAGCTACCTATAGCTTTGAATAATCTCTTCTCACAAAAAAAGTACTTCTAAGACAGGTAATAAAGTGATAAAGTTCATTTCCAAGACAGATGGGAAAATGCACTGAAAATTATTTGTATCAAACTGAAGAACACATTTAAACCACTGTGTCTAGGCAGATTTATGTATCTATCAAATTTTATGTCCCGTGTGCCCCATTAAGTTTTATTGCAGCAAAGATGACATTGAAATGTCCTGATCTGATCAGAAATTACAGCCTGGGTCTCCAAGCCACCGGGATGCAAAGAACACAGCAAGATCCCATTGACTTAACAGTAAGAAGGTGATTATGTATAATATGATCTGTCCTCCTGCCTCCACTGGAACCCCACAGTTCTGTTGAGACCATGCACTTAGTTCCTCAATTTGTGCCAATTATTCTGTCACGGCTGAAGTCATTGAATCTGAGGTCATCAAAGCCAGACCCTTAACTTCTCCAAACTGGCAGAGGTCTTCTTACTTCAGCCAAGTTAGGATAGTCAAGAGTGTATGAAAGCGAGACTGGTAGGGTTTCTGGAGAACTCCTGTTTCTTTTGCTATTGCACATGTCTCCCACAGAATACCATTCATGAACTGGAAACACTCCACCTTGGAATGATATTAGATTTTCTGTCACTGTCCTATCATGCAGGAAAGCTGTTTCAGAGTCTGACTACTCTGTTGGTTTGAAAAAGTGAAGTAAAAAGGCACTTGAAAAAAAGCAACACTGGCCTGAAAGGGGGGCCAAAAAACTCTATTATATCACTTCAGTTTGCTTCCAACATAAAGTCTCTATTTAGTAGGCATCAGTCCAGTTCGTCCCTAACTATTGGTAATAGTAACTATTACCATTTCTCTAAATAGAGTGAAAAATTGATAATGTGTCTCATCTAAGTTCTTTCAGACATTTTAAATGTAATTGCAACACCTAAAAATATTTCACCTACCTCACTTGTTGCTTGAAGATACATGACCATGAAAGGGAGTGATTGCAATTTGACATGTTCCCACATGTTAGGAGTGTCACAGCAGCAAATCTCTTAGCCTCCAGCAACCATCAAGTCATCTGCTCAACCTGCTTCACAGTGGATTATATTAAACCACATCACCTTGCATTTGCCTCATACACAGATATTTAACTCAGATTAGCAAATAAACTGATTTTGCCTCTAAGCCTTTAGACAAGAGGTTTTAATGGAGTTCTGCACCTCAAGAAACTGCTGCGATCTGCCTTTTCAAGACATACCAGCAATTCAGCCTGTTCAGAGTTTAGGCCCAAGGAAAGGCTACTCCTCAAAGGCCCACTGCTAAAGAAAATACACAAGCTGTCTACAAACGCATGGGATAAATGAAAATGGTTTACTCACAGCTTATGCACCATCTCATGACATCTTGGCCAGATGGATAGCTCGGAATTAGTTTATGTACAGCAGGAGTTGGGTTTTTTTGGTAAGCGTATCTGCAAGATTATGTTGCTTTGCTGCTGAGTGTTGTTCTGTGGAAGAATGGCTGCTGCCTTCTTTCCAGGGCCAGAAAACCTACAATATTTGGTGCATGAAATAAAAATCTTCATCAGTAGTGTATATTAGTGCCATGACATGCAAAAGCTAGATTATTTTGCTTCAAAATTAAAACAAGCACCTTTTGCCTTGAAAAGGACTGTGACAATTAATCGGACAAATAGTCTCCTGGGATCTGAAGTTCCAATGGCAGCCACTTAGGTGAATGCAAGTGAGAAACATAACATGTGAATGTTCATCTCAGATAAGGTTTTACTGAGTAAAAGCTAAAGTAATATTAAAGTAGTGCTTGATTAACAATATTACATTGCTAAATAGTGTGTAAGATTGATTTTTACCTTGTAAAAGATAGGCATTCTCAGGACCGTGTTTGTCTTACTGCACTTAAGAATCACAGGGTGCTGTAATAGCAGTTACCTCAAATTACATCAAAATTACCTCAAATTACATCAAAGTGCACATCAAGTGCCTTTGATGTGCACTTTTGAAGCACCACAATGATCACAGTTAAAAACACCTTCAGTTCCTGGACTTCTAAGATATATTTTCTGCATTTCACTCAGCTCTTAAGCAATTCCCAAAATCTCATGTGCCCTTGAATTTCAGCATGAAGCAAAAGCAAAGATTTAAACTTTGCCTTCCCAATACTGATCTACCTCTATTGCTCATCCTCCAATAGAGAGAACACAGCCAAGGCAGAAAACTGCAAAGGCTAGGGGTAGATTTGCCTCTCCAGTGGTGCTCATACACTGAAGACAAGGTTGCCCTTTGTTTGTCAGCTAGGTCCCACCACAGCAGCACAGCCCTAGCCAGACATTGCTGTGTTTGCTTCCAAAATAAAGTCTCTATTCAGAGACTTTTTGGCATTAGAACCTTGCCCCATACCCAACATGTACCTTCTGATGCAGCAACCCACCCATTAAAAAAAAAAAAAATAAAATAAAGAAAAACCAAATCTAAGTCTGGGTTTTGGTTTGGATGCTGACCTTCTTCTCCCTCCAGCCACACATATGTTGGTCATGGCCAAGCACAGAATCATAGAACCATAGATCAGTTTTGGTTGGACAGGACTTTTAAGATCATCAAGTTCCAACTCCCTTGCCACAGGCTGTCGCCCTGAAAACTCAGCTTCTGAGCTTGCTGACATGGTTTTCTAAAGACTTTCCCAGGACAGTAACTGTAAACATAGATATGTGTACATTCTTTCTGTTACACGTCTTGTGATGGGTATCTCTCATGGCCAGTGCAGTGAGAAAGTGTTATCCTGACCATCCAATCCCTGGCTGTGGTCAGAAGCCTATAAATCCTGGGAGGAAAAATAAACTTTCTCTTCCTTTCACCACACCTCGACCTGTGTCCGTGTGATCTATTCATCTTCAGCGGCAACAACAGGCAGTGACACCTTTTGCTAGACCAGGTTGCTCGGTGCTCCATCCAGCCTGGTTTTGGGTACTTCTAGGAATGGGACATCCACAATTTCCCTGGGCAACCTGTTCCAGTACCTTGCCACCCTCCCAGTAAAGAATGCCCAGTAAGCACCATGATGGGGCCCTCCTTGCATTCCCAGCCCCTTTCCCCAACCTCAGAGGCCCCTCAGCTGCATCCTCAACTTGGTGAGAAAAGCAACCCCCTCAGCCTTCCCTCCATCCTGGAGACACCTGCTTCCTGACACCTCATAGCCAGCCCACTGCCATATTCCCCCATGTGTGTCTATACACCTCTCAGTCCTACTGTGTGAATCACATAAGACTTTGAGTTGGAAAGGACCTTAAAGATCACCTAGCTCCAACCTCCTTACGTGGGCAGGGACACCTTCCACTAGGCAAGATTGCTCCAAGCCCCATCAAACCTGGCCTTGAATAGTGTCAGGGATGGTGCAGACACGATTTCTCTGGGCAGCCTGTGCAAATGCCTCACCACCCTAACAGTAAAGAATTTCTTCCCTTTATCTAATCTAAACCTATTCTCTTTCAGTGTTAATCCACTCCCTCTTGTCCTGTCACTACACACCCTTGTGCTGTCCCTCTCCATCTTTCCTGTAGCTCCCTTCAGGTGCTGAAGGCCGCAGTTAGGTCATCCCAGAGCCTTCTCCAGGCTGAACAACCCCAGTTCTCTCAGCCTTTACTCACAGGAAAGGTGCTCTATCCCTCTAATCAAGTTGGTGGCCTCCTCTGAGCCTGCTCCAACAGTTTCATGTCCTTCCTGTGCTGGGAACCCCAGAGCTGGATGCAGCACTGCAGGTGGAGTCTCACCCGACCGGAGTGGTGACCCTCCCGCGAGGGAGAAATTACTGGGACGCTGGTTTTTTTTTTTTTTTTTTTTTTTTTAACATCGGTGTTTTGAAGGCACAGAACTCCACATATATTCCCAAGCCCCGGTAAGCCGCGGGTGCCTGAGGCTGCGGCGGGCGGAGCCCGGCTCCCGGCCGGGGCCGTGAGGGGCGGGGTGCCCGTGGCTGCGGGCGCCGGAGGAAGTCGGCGCTCGGCCGGAAACCGGGATGCGGAGGGCGGGGAGGGGGCGTCGCCAGGGCCTCGCCGTCCGCCGCGGCCGTGGCCGGCGCGCCCATGGCCCAGCGGGCGCCCAGGGAGCAGGGGCAGGACGAGGAGGAGGGAGCGGAGGAGGGGGAGGCGGCGAGGGGCAGCCAGGCGCGGGCCAGGAGCCATGCGGAGCCCGCGGCCAGCGGCGGCAGGACTCAGGACCGGCATGAGAGGAAGCGGAAGAGGCAGGAGGCGCAGCAGCTCCAGAAGATCCAGCACCTGGAGTCTTTGTAAGGAGCGGAGGAGGGGAGGCTGCCCGCGGCTCCCGCCCCGGCTCTGCCCTGAGCACACCCCGCCGGCATTTGGGGCTCGTTTCCAGTGCAGGGTTTGGGTTTTCTGGGGGGTGGTGATTCTTCTTCCCCTCTCCCCTTAAATGTGATTCGGCAGAAAGGCTTCGGGGCCACTTGCAGAGTTGCTTGGTGACTTACGAAGGGTTTGTTGGGGCACAGAAGGGGCTCTCGCGGGCTCCTCCAAGTCTGAGAGATGCAGCATAGGAGCAGAGGTTGTTCCTGGAACGGACTTAAAAAAAACAAAGAAGGAAAAATAAATTGGGATTAAAAGGTGCTGTAAAAGGTTTATGCTATTTCTCTGGAAAGGAATTATTGTTTTAATGGAATAAAAAGGTCAGAAGGTACACAAGAACATGATTTTGGTTTTTTCTTTTCTGCGTGGAAGTGAAAATCAGTTTGTTGTTAAATGCACCAAACAGCACTCCGAAGTTATTGTTATAAAGATGGGTTGAACATACTTTAACCACCTTTTCCTTGCTGTTCTTATTGTATTGGTATGATTGTGCCTAGCAATCATAGAGGTATGTAGGGGGGGTGCGTGTGCGCACAGCTAAGCCAATGAAATATTGCCTATGCCATCAAACCTATGATGCACAGCCAGTAGAGATGTTTCATGTCCAGCTGAGTTAATACATGGATAATGTTGGAAAGTCCTGTTGAAAAGAGTCTTCCATAAAGCAGAAGATTTCGGGACTCTGGGCTTGCACAGTGCTGATCTTTTTATGCCATTGAAAAACAAAACCAAAATATCTCCATTCTCTTCTGTGATCACTTTATACTTTCACTGAGGCAGCAGTTTACAGGAAACAGTGTATGTGTTTAAATAGAGATGAGATTAGAGCGGGGAAAAACCCCAATACAAATTCAGTTACACACACCTGCATCTTTCTATGTAATATGTATTCTTTGCCTCCAGGACCATTTTGTATAGCCTTGGCATTTAACTCCTTAGCACATGCGTTTTTTTAGTTGCTGTGTGCTCTGTGTAGTACCTGTTTGCTGCTTGGATTTTAACAAATGTTTTATCTACCGTTAACCCCAAAGAAATGCTGCAGAAAATATGCTGCTGTGGTCAGTAGGGCTCTGTCTTGAGGTTTAATACACAGAAGATTATTAAATTATTATGTATTAGGTTTGGCTGGCAAAGCTAGATGTAAGGATCAGTCTGACTTGACATTTTTAGCTGACTATGTCTGTGATTTAGCAGTGCTAGAGTAAAGAAGTCTGGAGACCTTGAGGGGTGCAGCAGAAAAAAGAAGAGAGAATTATGCATGTATGCATGTTGAAGCTAAATCAAATATACCACATATCCCTAGGAAGTAGTTGTGCTCCCACAAGAATATGAATCTGAGGGATGTTTGCAAGAGATGTGTAGTAATATGATAAATGCTGTCTGTCAGCTTGCTGTATCTGTGTTCTGCTGTGGTTCTATTAGTTACAAGGTAATATTTAAGGAGAAATGTGAGCTGAAGGTTTTCACTCAATACCCCTGAAAAACTGTAATTTTTCAATTTATTTGTCTGTGCTAAGCTGCAGAGTAACAATATTTCTATTGCTTTTCAGCTATGAGAAACCTCCCCCTGGGCTAATTAAGGTTGGTAAATAGCTGTAATTTTTTAGGATTATGAGGGATTTTCACAAAACGTGCTCTTTAGGTGTTTAAGTGTCTGTGTTACCTATATAAATTACAGAGAGATTGTAGAGAATCATTACAAGCTGACCACTTTGTCTTGGTGATCCAAAGTGATCCAGAATCAGATAGGAGACCAGGTCTTTCATAATCTCTTAGCACACTTTGTGCAGTGTTTAATAGTGTGGATAGAGGGGAGCCATTTATGGAAAGCAGATTTTTGTTTTGAATAACATCTTTTCAGGATTCTTCTCTATTGCTTAGGCTGAAATAATTCTTTCATCATGATCATTACTTCTGCCAAATTTATATACCTAAGCCATAAAGTAGTGCTTTTAACCTAAAGAATAACTGCTTTGTGTTGTAAAGGTTTCCTTGTAATTGTTATGTCTTACTAGCAGGAAGAAGATAACAAAGTCTCTGCTTTGTGTTAAGTTTTCATTTCTGTTATTTATTTAAACAAATTATTAAATGGATGGGAAGGAATGAAATTCCTGCGCAGGAAAATTCTGGCTGCAAAATTCAAGGGTGAGAAAAAAAAAAAGGGGGGGTCAAGTATTTTAGATCTTTTGTGTGATACAAGGAAAAAAGATAATGGGGAAAATATGTTTCCTGCTAAGTGAAGGTCTGTACACTTGATTATTAATTCTTGCAAAGTTAAAAAAAGAAAGTTATTTTATTATCTTTATCTTTCTTCTTTTTTCTTTTTTTTTTTTTTGTAGGAGAATGAAACAAAACCAGAAGACTGCATACCTGATGTACCAGGCAATGAAAGCGCACGAGAGTTCCTGGCACATGCCCCAACAAAAGGGCTTTGGATGCCTTTGGGAAAAGAAGTCAAAGTTATGCAGTGTAAGGCTGAAAATATTCCAGATGTCATTGGACCATCATGTATCCATCCATTTATGCTGGGGGAGGGCAGAATGTCTGGTGGACAAATTATGAAGTCTGGGTAGATTGACATCATATTGATAAAAAAGCAACCAGTATCTTGAAGGTTGAAGTAATACTGAATTTGAATATTAAAGTAATAGCCTTGTATTTTATGGACATTGCATTTATCAGCATACTAGTTGTATCTCCCTGTCTCTTACAACAGATTGAAAATATTTTGCAGAAATGTGGTTTTGGCTTTTTGTGCTTCTTCAGGTCTGTCTCAGAGGTGCAATTCATTGCTGCTTGTTTTTTTAAAGGTTGGAGATGTAAACGTTATGGACACAGAACAGGAGATAAGGAATGCCCATTCTTTATTAAAGGCAATCAGAAATTGGAACAATTTAGAGTGGTGAGTAGCAATACTGTAGTATTACTGCTTGTATTTTTTTAGTACTGATAATGCATAATCTTGCAACTGAAGATAAGCCTATTAGATGATGCTTTATTAAGGACTTTTCCTCTGTCTCTAGTATAATATAGATGCTGAAAATCTCCTAATAAAGAAAAGGCTACAGATGTGGTTGGATGTTTGACTACTGTGCAGAAAATCTACTCTTCAAGAGGAAAATTAATAATTTTTACATATAAATTGGAAATCTTCAAGAACCTGTTTCAACCACTGTATTCATTTTTTTTTTTTGTGATTAAAATGTCAACATAGCAAAAAATGTTTAGTCAAGCTTGAGCTGCCCACATTACAGCTGTTTCAAGCCTTCTGCTCTCGCTGTGAACAACCACATCATGAATGCTGTTGTCTAGGTCTGTAATCCAGTCATTGTCTAAAGTCTGATCTCTTGCTACATGAAGCTACATCTCAGTTCTGCAGATTCTTTCTGTGTGATCTCTAACTATTTCTGTTGCTGTGCATCATTAACCTATATTTCAAGCTGTCATCACTTTGTGTCTTATGTCCTCATTTCTGTCCTTGAAAAATATAATCTTGGCTTGGTCTCTCCAGACTCTGGATTCGTACTGATTGTATGCAACTGCCAAGAGTATTTTTAGCCCTTTCCCATGACCAGACTGCCTCTATTCTTCATTTTCCCTCAGGCTTCTTTGTTGCATCAAACTCTTGTTGTTTGTCCAAGACCCTTCATGGTGCATTCCCAACATCTTTCATTTGCTCCTGACATTTCAGTTCCCACCTCTGGTCAGCATCTGCCATCTCTCCTCTCTGTTGGACTTGTTTGCTTAATCTTCCAACAAAAATGATCACCCCACCTTTTTTCTGCATTCTTGCATGAATCCAACTTAAACGTCTGCAAAGTTTATTTGCTGTCTTCCTTCACAACTATCTTTTGCTGCAATGCCCATTTAACGTCATTTAAGAACCAGTAATGGTAGTGCATAGCATGATAGGACAACTCCAACTTTATTATCCATATGTCTTATATTCCTTGCTCCTATAATCCTGTTTGTTTATATCCAGGTTTTTTAAATGTACTATAAGGGTACAGCTCATTATTTTGAACTTGAGTATTCCATCTACATATAGCTATTCCCACAGATCATGTATGGGATTCTCATAGCTGGCTGTGATTGGAGAGGTAGGGAGATAGATACCTAAGGAGAGTCCCCTTCCTGTGAGGTGTAGCTAGATAACCTTTCCCTAAAGCAAATACACCAGTTCAGGTGAACAGTGCTAAGTCTGACAGTGAATTAAGAGCTTGCTAAGCATATTCCATCTTTTGATAAAAGCCTCTTGCATTTGGTTGCTTTGGTTTATTTTTTTAGGAAATAAAACCGTTGGTGATAACATTGAATTTCCTGTTTTCCATTTTAAAGGCACATGAAGATCCAATGTATGATATAATAAGGGAAAATAAGCGTCATGAAAAAGAAAAGAGGTGAGTGTGTCTGTAGTAAACTGCATTTTCAATTCAGTTTTTATTTTGGTAATGTGGCACTTATGTATAGGTGACCTTTTTAAAGAAGCTTATTTTTAGCTCAGAGCATTTTTTTTAATAGCAGTTTCTTTATGTTGACAGACTAATGCATTTCTACTTTCTAAACAATCACTCTTTAGTACTTCCAATTGCTTTAATTCTTTAGCTTCTGTATTTTCCCCAAAACAAAGTTTAAAGTGCAGCTGTATGCATTTATGCCATAATATTCAGGTACTTAGGTGTGGTTTTGGTTTAGGCCTGAAAAAAAGTTTATTTTTTTTTGCTTTCACTGGCTTCACTGAGTCAATTTTGTAAAATTTGCTTTGTCAGAATGCTTTCAGTGGAAATTAATGGGGGATTTAGAAAGGTAGTTCTAGGCACCTGATATTGCTGCTTTTGTGAGGTCATTACTTATTATTATAAAGTGGCAGGTTTTGATGCTTTCATGCTGGAACTGCTTCAGTGGGATAACTGAAGAAACTGTAGGTAGCCCATAGAACAGCACTCTTGGAGAGGAATCCTTGAAGAGAATACAGAAGACAACAATAAAATAAGCAAATACTTTGTCCCACTATCTGCCAGTGATCCTTGAAAGTTCAAAGGAAGAGTGCCTTTCAAAAATACTTCTGCATTGTGGTAGATCGGCAATTACATGCATCCAGAGTGGAGCCTACTCTGTCAGCTTCACTGACATCCTCTCTGTATCAGCAGGGCAATGAATGTCATAATATCCTAGTCCAAATATCCCTCTGTAGGGATAAGCATAGAACTTATCACCAGGTGGGCTAGTGATAGCTGTTGCTTTATTATTTTGCACACATAAATAAGCCAACAAGCTAGTCTGCCTTCCTTATCCAATGGGATGGAAAGTCCCTGAAAACAGAACAGCTGCTTGTCTCAAAGTAGTTGCTTTTATCAGTCCATGATATTATCTGTAACAAGAGTGTAATTAAGCAAAAGAGGAAGCATTCCCCTGCCCTTTGCATGCAGCTTCCATTCCTCAAGTCAGGGAGGAAAGATGAAAGCTAGGATAAATTACTAGAGGTAGAGGACAGCTAGAAAGGCTTCTCATTCACATATTTTAAATTCAGGATACAGCAATTGAAGCAGCTCCTGGAGGACTCTACCTCAGAATCTGATAGCAGTGATGACAGTACTGTGGATGATGAAGATGGCAGCAGCTCCACTTCCTCAGAATATAAACACAAGAAGAAAAAGAGAAAAAAGGATAAGAAAAAGAAAGAAAAGAAGAAGAAGAAAAAGAGGAAGCATAAATCATCCAAATCTAATGACAAGTCAGAATCTGACTGACAGCAGACACCTGCGGCGTGCTCATTGACCTCTCCACTTGTGAACTGCAAGGAAAGATCCAAAGAATGATGAGGAAAACACCAGAAAGGGTTTTATTAAACTTTGAACATACATGCGTATGCATACAGCATCCTATGCTGGCATCCTCTTCTGCCCCTCTGCAGTCAGAAAAAAGAAAGCTGCATTAAACCATATCTTTGTGCTGTAAAACCCATGCTGAGAGTCATCGAGCTTGGTCACATGGGGCCTCTGCATTGCTGCCCGTGACCAGCAGCAGAAAGCGGTGACCACCAAGAGATCACTGACGAACCTGCAGCATTAGCAGACTCTCTGTTGAAGTGTCTTTACTCCATGAAGTTACTTTATTATATACAAAGCCTCATTATAACAGGACTGCAGTTTGGACCATGCAGAGCACTGAGAGTTCTTCTACAGTGCTTATAATGAGCAGGTGGTACTGTATTTTCTCCTCTGCATACGTGCTGAGGTTCTGTGTACTTATCCTAATATTGGCAGCTAGGGAAATAAAGAGTACTGCTGCAGGGGAAAAATGGTAATCAAGGGGATTTACTTTACGACAAAATCGCACCATCAGCAAGACTTGATTTTTTTTTTTTTGGTGTGTGTGTAACAAAATCTTGAGACCACCATTAATACACAATTCTGAAATGTCTGAAGTGTAACATCTACACTCTCTAAACCATAGAAGTGGGAGCCAAGAGTAATGATGTTAGATATTCAGCTTAACTTGAAAGAGGGTTTAGTTATTTAAAAAGGGGGGTTTCACATAAGAAATTAAAAAGATTAATTTCTGCATATTCTTCAGTATCAGTTGTTTTGATACAAGTTGAGGGAGGTTTCCTTTTTAAAAGGTTTGGGGGTAATAAATTCTCACTTTTTATGTTTACTAGATTTGATGAGGTAGCTTTTTTTTAATCATCCCACAAGTATATAAATGTGTAAGGCTCTCAAAATAGTTTTCAACTATATGCATGAAGCCACAGAGCAACAGTAAAGAACGTGTAAGCAGGAAGAAGAGAAAGGTCTGTATTTAGTTGACCTTACATACTGACCACACTTATCTTTTAAATAATCATGCAGACTCAACCAGGGAGATGGAGATAGCTATAAACAACATTACAGTAACCAAAGCTCTTTGAAACCTCAAGGTACACTAGTACAGAGCTGTGACTTGAGGAAGTAGATGATGGATACTGGTACTGTACAAAAGGAAAGAAAAAACTAGATTTGCCTTGAAAGAACTTCTCTAGAATTTAGGCTCTGTATGCTAGGATTAAAAAAAAACCCTCATGATAAAGTGAACATTAACAGTGAAATCGAGGAACCATAGACTAAACTGCATCTAAAATATTTTATTTTCTTCAAAGCTTTGGAAGAGAGGACAAGGGAAAGTATAAATTAAAATGATTTTTCTCTCTCCTACATGACTAAGAATGACTTAGTAAAAGTAAACCCCCTTCCTTGCCAGTCATTCACAGTATGTTCTGAGGAAAAACAAGATAAAAGACAAGCAAGACCTACTTATGAAAAGAATCATATTCGCAGAGCTTGAAGGTAGAGCTGTAATTCTGCTTATATTTAGCAAATCTCCCTATGATGGGATTTACTTGTGGTAGTTCCCTATCAGGATCATCAAACTCAAAGGCCCTTGCTCTTTCACCAGAAAGATTTAACAGCTGAAATAGCATGGGGAGATCTATGATGAACTGATTTTCTTGGCCAGGTTGGACAGGGCTCTGAGAAACCTGGTCTACTGGGAGGTAGCCCTGTATGTGTGAGGGGTTTAAAACTAGATGATCTTTACTGCCCCTTCCAACCCAAACCATTCTAGAATTCCTGTATTGCCATACTTGGCGCTGAGGTTAATGCATTTACAGATTATTGAACAGATGCTAGAAGACTGATACTCACCTGATGCATTCCAAGAGAACTCGTACTCGGGCTGATCTAGAGCAGGGCTAACTGAGGATCTCTTCAGTTACTTTAGCTTTTGGCATTTAAGATTGTTCTGAAATTTAGTTTAATAAATACAAATTCAGTTTTTCATGTGCAATCCCCTGCTTGTTAATAGAACTCTATCTGTATAGGGTTTATTATTTCAACAGTTAAGAAAAAACAAGTTAGGAGACCATTTCTAACTTGTATCAAATCTAATTTAAATGTTTGAGATGCCAAACCACTTTTCTGTGCCTGACTAAAGGTCTGTTGTATCAGTATCTTTCCAATCATGGTTCATGGAAGATGCCTCCACAGCAGAGCATACAAACTCTGCTATTATTTCTGTTACTTCACTGAAATGCTCTCTCAGCCTCTACTGCTGAGAGTACCTATAGTGCAGGTAATCAAAATCATGGGTTAGATTTTAGTATTTAGTGGCCTTGGATGCATTTTTTTCTTTTGTATCCACTCACTGCTTATAAACCTTGCCATTTCCCTCAGCAATTAATTCTTCTTCATTATTTATTAATTAATCTGGAGCACTTGGCTTTCACACTGTTTCTTATTTGTTGAATTTCACACACCTTTAATCTTACACTGGAAGGTATGTGAATAACTGATTCCTGTTTGTTCTCCCTATATAATTTCCAGTTTCATAAGCCTCTGTCCTATCCCATGTAGGTCTTCACTACAACTCATAAAAGTAGCATTTCAAAATTTAACAGTTTCAATAGACTAAGATTTATAAGAGTGCTTTTAACAGCCAGGGCTAGAGTGCTGAGAAGCATGACTCACGTTAGCATTTGGCACTTTAAAAAATGCCAAAGCTGTCATTTAAGATGAGTCTTTTAAAAATATGTAGACTAGAGATAAATACCAACATTCCTTTAGATTAATGAAAAGCAGTTCTGTATGGAAGTAAATGCAGAAACCAGGATAGAAAGTTACAGTCTTGAAAAGCTGACTAGCCTTATTTTTAAAATCATAGCCATTTAATGTTTTTGTTCAAAAAACATTTTTCTGGCCTTCTTTGTAGACATATATTTCCATTTGAACATTCTGTCGAAGCCCAAGTGATAGTAACATAATTATATAGTCCCATGAAACTAAGCAAGTGTAAAATGCAGCTAAAACAAATCTCAAAGGCATCCCAAAGTCTTTTATCTTAATGCTCTGCACCATTTTTGTCAAAAAGCTATTTCAAGTAATATTTCTTTATTTCTTTGGCCATTCAATTAGTTGGGGTTTATAGTCTTTTTGAGTGAGTCAGTGGCAGCAAGTCAGGGGAAGCTAAGGACTCTAAAAAAAGGATCAATTTGTTTTTCCTTGGTATGCCTTCAGTTAGCATGCCATGAGTGTTACAGGCTTTTGGGATTTGGGTCTTTTTCTTGCCATTGGCTCTGATCTTCCTTTGTTTGATTTTAATAAAAAGACCTGTAGTTAATATTTTCCACTTATAGGCAGAACACTAGACACTGTGAAAGGGAAAAAAAATTATGCCATCCAGGTGTTACCAAACTGAAAATATAGAGTTAATACCTGGCAAGCTGAGAGAACCCACAGCTCCACAGCAGTAATTACACCACACCCACTTTGCAACAGAGGTTTCAGTTAGCTACAAATAATGATTTAGAAATACTGAGCCACAGACAGTAAGTCTGTCCAAACAATGCTCTCAGTATGGCAATCCCAGAGGCCTCTAAGGTTTGTTGCTGGTGTGCCAAGCAGCAAATAGATTCTTCAGCTGCCTTTCAGGAGATGCTGCAGGAAGCATGTGAAAACTTCCAAGGCAATGCAGTACTGCGACAGTTACAAGTTTGCAGTACTGCCAGCTCTGCAGTGAGTTACTGGGCAGTCAGTTTGGCTGCAGTGGGAACAGAAGCTGACACGTATGTGCATCTGCAAAACTAAGTATCCCTGTGCCTGGTTACCTGGCTGAATAAAAAGAGCCCAGGCTTGGATACACAGCCTTTGTGAAGCATGGCCGTTTTACCTACTGGAATATTATATTCAGCTGTAAGCCAATTAAGATGCAATCCACAAATTGTCTGTGCTGCTGAATGGAAAAAAAAAAACCAAGTAGATTTAGTTTTAAGGTCACAGGACTAGTACTGTTAGATTAGAATACACTGCATATAACCTTATCAAAGAATTATTTCTCAAACACTTTTCTCATGCATACTACTGTAAGTATTGGGCACAGCATGGGAATAGTACAAGATATAACCAGTTTAAAATAGCATTTGTTTTGAGACAAAGAACCGTGTAAACTTGCCTACTGCTACTCCCTCATGTCTTCTCAGGAGCATTCACCAGGCCCTAAATTGCTTCTTGCATCTGAGTAGAAATCACACTGAGTAGTGCAAGACCTGTAAAAGGATGACCTGCATGATCATTTGGAGTACCCGGCCAGTATTACCCATTTCCAAAACTAAGAATGCCATCCAGTTGTGAGATTATGAATATTCCTTTATCACATAAACAGCAAAAGATACAGCTAAGGCTATCAGCAGAAATGGGTGTCAAAAAGCTCCATGCTTGAATTCCTCATTTGTTATTTGAGGTTATGATGCAGACATTCTGAGCAGCACAGAAGCCAAATAAGGATTTTTATTGCATTTATTTTCTTTCATTAATTGAAGTAAAAATGAATTGAAAACTTGTCATCAGAATGACTTATTTCCCCTAACAGCTTGTGGTAAAGGCTATAGCAGAGCTGTAACAATTAAGCTGCTGGTATTAAAAAAGTAGATAAGGATCAGTTGGGTAGGGAAACATCAGTACTCCTCACTAAGAGTGAAAACAGCATAACTTCATTTGCACGTCAAACTAATAATTGGTAGGCACAAAACCTGAACACAGTCACTGGAAATGCAGCTTTAATCCATGTAGGTTACTCTAGGACACAGACAGAGAAAGAACATGGGAGAGGAAGCAAAATACAAGTTCTGTCTGTCCATTCACCCCACCCTTCCTAAGGAAAACCAGATGATTGATTGGTGGGGGTTTTTTTGTTTCCCTATCTTCACTTTATTTGGGAATCCTTTAATACTGGCAATATTGTATTTATTCTTCTCACACAGTGATAATAGCCTTCATAGTCATGGGGAAAAATTAAATATTTTTGAGCTATCCACCTCATCTAGATCAGTCTGTTACCATTATTCATAAAACAGCTCTACACAGACCTAGTTTTATCATCTTAGTTCTATAAAGAGACTTCCAGGGACAGTATCAACTGTAAGTCATAGAAGTCATCAGTAAGAAGTCAGAAAACAGGGCACACCACTAAAAATTTCTGTTTTACCTTTCAGATCCATCTCTGCAGCTCAGGGTCTCCATAGAGGACTCAAAAATCTCCAGAGAAAAAAGGGAGGAGAGGGAAACATCACATCAACTCAATGCTTTAGTTTTAGTCCTCAATCATGAGAGTAAGATCTGAGGAACTCCCTTGAAATTTTAAAACAGCACTTGACTTTTTACAGCTGTAACTATATTCCTCGACATTTTGACAAAAACAAATCCAGCTGATAGAAAAGAATCTCGTACTTACGTCCACATCATATGACTATGAGATGACATGGACAGGCTTCACAATCCTGCAGTTTAAGAACAGGGCAGCAATAACTGTTGTGCTATATAGTTGTGCACATACATGGCCTTCTCAAGTTTTTTTGCTGCTAAGTAAAGATGGAACACCAGAAGTCTCAAAGTGCAATTCTATGAAATTTATTATTTAAATAGTGGATGTGCTAGTTATAAAAAGGTGGCTTTGGTGTTAAATACTTCACTCCATTTTAATTGTGTCCTCAGTCTTTTCAGTGTCACTTCTTGCCCTTTTAGAGTGAACAGCAACTTACAAAATACACAAGAGGATAATAATCAAATCTTGGTTTTATACAAAACAAATCTTTGTTATTTCCCACCCC